GCCCCCGCGCTCCCCTTTAGTGACCTAAAAACAAGTTAAGGCTGTGCTGTGGTTTAGGAACAACTCCTTTGTGAGAGCGCAAAATTGAGGCTTCGGTTCCCCAATACATCATATCTTAAATGCCTGTCTGATGGACAGCTCTCACTTTCAAACATTTACTTCTGTTATGAAAAGATCTGTCTCCTCTCCATTCCTGTTGCCTCAGATTAGGCTATCTTGAACTATTGCAAAATCTTTTTATATTAATAATTGTATTTATTTTTGTAATAAGACATTCACGTGGCTCAAAATTCAAGATAAGGGTGTAAAGTGAAGACTCTCTTCCACCTGTCTCCAGCCTCCCAGACCACATGTATACGAGCAATGTCTCCTGTTACAGGTCCAAGATATTTTATGTATTTATATGCATATGCAAATATATATCTTTCCCCCTTTTATTTCAAACAGCAATTACACACATCTTGCACTTTGCTTTTCACTGAGTGTACCTTGGAGACTGTTCCATTTCTGTACATAAAAACTTCATTCTTTGTTACGACTGCTTAATATTTAATTATTTTAATGTAATATAACTTAGTCTCTTATTAATATTAATGGGTATTTAGGTGGTTTCCAGTCTTTTGCAATTATAAACAGTGCTGCTGTAAATAACGTTGCATACAAGTTACTTCAAATGTGCAACTGTAAGTGTAGCATAAATTCCTAGAAGCAGGATTACTGGACCAAAGTTTAGGTGCATTTGTAATTTTGATAGGCAATATAAACATTTAGCACAGGTTTTTGTGTCAACATGTCTTCACACTTCAAGTGTTAACTGTTATAGTATCTGTACATAACACCACATCACAGATTTTTTCCTACTTAACTCATAGTGATGAAGACACCCCTGGTGTTTTAAGTGTCCAGTAATTGCCCAGGAAGGGGCTATGAGTTTTGGAAATCCAACAAAAGCGAACTATATGGTTCCTGCCATCAGGAATTTATCATCTATTGGGGAAGCAATGTTCAAGTAACACTGAAACAAGACAACACTGCATCAATCTTTTAACTGATCTGTTTCTCGCTTCTAATCTCTACCAGTTAACTTTCTAATGCAAAGAGGTGACCCGGTTGAACCTCTGCTTAATTTTGATGACTGAGTGGTATGTTCAATATATAAAAACTACAAATTCATAATTTTTTAAAAAGAAAAAGCCAAAAAATCAACTAGTCATTGTATACCATTGGAAGTAACTGGTGATCAAGTCCTGAAAAATGGCAAATAAAGGTAATAATTAAGTATCCTGCCTTTCCAGTGTGAACTGTAATTCAGAATGATAGCTGATGAGAGGGAGTTCTTTAGAAATGACTATCAGCTTGTAAAAGTGGAAAGAATGATAGAATTAGGAGGGAAAAATCACCATTTTGCATCATCTCCTAATGACAATCTAGGCAACAATCACCAGTGGACAAAACCACTAAATGAAAGCTTGTTGGGAAACTAAAATGTCTGGACCCACCTAACACTGAAAATGGAACAAGCAACCAATATTTGTCTCGATGTGAGGCAGTATGAAACAGTCAAACTGGTTTCTCAAGTCAATGTCATGAGAAAAAAGGAGAGGGGAAGACTGATTTTGATTACAAGAAATTTAAAACAATAACCAATGTGTGGATTTGTTTGGATCCTGATTCAAGCAAACCAACTATAAAAAACCATTTCTGAGACAAGGAATTGATTATGGACTGGACAATGTAATGAATAATAATATGGTAAATTTCCCTGTCTTTTAGAGATTCATACTCAGGTTTGTAGGAGTGAAATGATATAATGTCAGATATTTGCTCTAAGTAACTTCGGTAAGGAAAAAATGGGAAACAAAAGCAAATGTGGCAAATCTGGACAATTATTGCATCTGGTGCTGTGGATTCTTTGTATATCGTTTATTTCCTGTGCTGCTTGAAATTTTTCAATAAAACACACACACGCACTAAATGGACTCTCCATTTTTTTAAGGCTAACCACAATGGTTAGACTCTTACTCTTGCCCCGACCCAACCTACTTTTGCAGCTTTATCACTCACTGTCCACATAAGCCTTGGTTCTGGCCTCACTGTTCATTTTAAGGCCTATTCTGTCTTTGTGTCCAAGTTATTTCCTCTGGTGATCTGCCTTCCCCTTCTTTTGCAACTGGGAAACTTATCTGTCAAGAACTAGGTCAGATGTTACCTGTGAAGTCTTCTCCAACCTTATTAGATCTCTTGGCATCAAACTTGGTTGCCGTTCATAGGAACTCCGTTCATGCTAATAGTAGAATTTATCCTATACTGTAGATATTGTCTGTCTTCATTCATCATGATGAGTGTTCCTTAATGGCAAATCGCATAAAAGTTAAGGGCACAGTCTCTGGTTTCAGAATGCCTGAGATCGCATGCTGGTTTAGTTACTGACTGTGTTATCCAGGGCAAGTAACTTAACTTCTCTGTGCCTTAGCTGTGTTGCCTTGGCAAATAAAAACTTCTTTATGCCTCAGTTTTCTCATCTCTAAAATCTCACCATAGAACTGGATTAATCCTAAACAGATAAGAAAGGGATTAGAACCATTCGACACACAATACTCAATACTAAGGACACCAATTAATTATTACTAATATATAATTATTTGATATAAATGTTACTATATTAATTCCTAACACTAAAGCTAGGGTTCTTATTTGTCCTTATATTCCTCCCATAACTAGCTCAGTGTCTGACACACAGATGCTCAATAAATGGTTGATGACTTGGGATAGATTTTGGTCTTCCGTACTAACCTTCACTTTGGCCCCAAAGCACTAGCATGGAGCTAGTCACCTAAGAGAGTCTCCATAAAGGTCTGAGGTGGGCAACAAGTGCTGAGAGGGGTTGAGAAGTCTGGACCCCTAAGTGATGATGATGCTAAAAGAGACAAAGGCAGCTGAGCGTAGGGAATACATCCTTTATTAACCTACTCACTGGTCACTACTCTTGACTCGTAAGACAACAGGTACAGAACTACATGGGATCATCCCCAGCTCTGTGATCACCAGGTCCACGAGCTCTGGGGGAGTCACATCATAGACCAGATTTAACAACCGTAGGGATGGGTGGTTTTGCCAGTTAGCCAGAGCCACGTGTTCTCCTCGCTCACAAAGAAGGTCATCAGGGTCATCTGCAATGATGAGGGGTATTTGGTATTCGTTTACATCCTTTCAGAAAACAAGTTGTTCAACCTCCCCTCTCCCCAAATTTTCTCAGGTCCCTGGAATCTTCTCTTCTGCCTTCCTGGGCCTCCTTACCTAGCTCATTAGAGACAAAGGCATCAGTCTGCACACGCTCACAGAACTTGTATGTTTCACAGCAGACTAGCACTGGCACATTATGGGCTCGTGCCACTAGGGCCAGCTGTGCTGTCCCTACCCGTGACATCACGGACCCATTGGCCAGGAGTGCGTGAGCTCCCAATAGCACCTTAGAAACCTATTTTGGAGAGTAGAGAGGGGAAAAAAATGTCATGTGATCAATGCAGAAAGAGGTTCCCCACTCCTGCCCAGGACAACAATATTAAGACAACGAATAACAAATGTTGGAAAACACCAGACCAAAATGACCTGCCGCACCTCCCGCAGAAAAACTAAACTCTGAAGGTACTTTTGTCTTGTTCCCTGTTGGTGGTTGCTAGTTTAATATGTTCCTCAATAGCTAGACTGCTATAACATGCTGTAGATGTTTTCCCCATCAAATATAAACAGGGCTATACAATTCTAATCTTTCTAAATAATTTTAACCCTTGGAAGGTGGCATTGTCTATACTGGTAAACCTTTTTACTCCAACTTTGGAGTCCCTTTCTTCTGCCCTCACCTCTGGGAGCACATAAGAGGCTGCAGGAATCAGCAGGTAGGAGGCAGGGACCCCAGCACGGACCAGAGAACGTAGCATGTGCCTTCCCTCCAGCCGTGGCCTGCTGTCCACCACTACCACCCGAAATCGCCGGCCCTCAACCCAAGCCTCCTGAAGAATTCGTGAAACCAGAGATGAGCTGGAGTGAATAGAGAGGATTGTTATAATGTCACTAACTCCTAAAGGGCAAAGGGGTCGTCCCTTCTTCAGATCATTTCAACTCCCCCACCATTTACTCAGTCATAACGTCTGGACCATACCATCCATATACCAGGATCACATCTCCATTACTGATCTTCTTATAAGCAAAGCGTGAAATTGCCTGAGCTGCCAGCACAATCTTCTCTTTTACATAGCGATCAATGGCCGATCGAAGTTCTGACTTGGCCTAAATGCAGTAAGATTCACAGGGAACAAGAAATGAACACATTTCTTCCTCTGATGATCGTGCCAGATATTTGAATATGTGTATAATGATGGGTTCAAGGGGGACCTAATGGGGACCCAAATTTGGCACAAGTCAGACAACCCAACCACTTCCTTAACCCTTGATCAGGGCAGAATGGCCGAGCTGCCCCTCCTAGGAGTCCTGAACATGTTTCTCAGCTCTGTCCCCAGGTGCATGCCTTGCTCATTCCTCATACTCATCACCTCCTCTTCCCGCTTGGAGCTGCTCACACCCGTGATTTCCTTGTTAAGGAACTTGATGGCGTTGCACATGCTCGCCGACAGGGGACGACACTGAGTCAGGAAGCTAAAACAACATTTGTGTGACTCTTAACTTATAAAGCTTCCATATTTAAAAAATACTTTAAAAATAAGACAAAATAGAAACATGAAAAAAGAGAAGAAAAAAAGAGTACAAGAAAAGAACTAGGTGAGCTGGGAGTGGACTTGTAGTGGCTGTCCTTACCTGAAGTAGGGCTTTAGTTTATTCACTAGGTCCCTTGAGAGTTCCTCATTGGGTGGTGTTGTGTAATCCTGAATCACCTATAGTATACACAAGTCGATCAGTAAAATGTCCCCTAGTAAAGGTCTCTGAAGGGGGGATAGGGTAAGCTTCACAGAGGAAGTGCTCTAAAGGTGGAGTCGTCTCCTCTTTCCCCCAGATTAATGTAGGTTATAAAAGCTAAGGTAGTGTTGGAGAAGGTGGGGGTGGATTATAAGAGGGAACAGGTGGGACATACCTGCTGCAAGGCATGAAGCAGGGCAATACACCGGGCATTGGAGCCACTGACCAGGCCCTGGGAGTACTGCAGGCCGAGTCGCACCATGGCTGGGTGGATCACAGAGGATGGGATGCTGATGGGATGGCGGTGTCACACACTTTGCAAGGGAGTTTGAGCACCTACTGCCCACCTGCCCCTGATAAAAAGGAACTTCCTTCACTAGCACAAACACCCCCATTTTCTCTGGAGTTCTGCCTTGTGTTCACACTTCTTTCCATAGATCCAATCTTACATTTCCAGTCACTTTCACTACAGAATTACTAAAACCCCTCAGGTGTAAAAGTTATGACAATTTCATAAGATCCTACCTCATATACTGGGTCAAAGAGTTTTGTCTGCTGTACTGGGGTAGGTGGGAGAAGAGACTGACTTTAGATCCATAATCTTTTCGTGTAGGAACCTTGAAAAAACAGGAGAACAGGACCAATGTCCAGAGTTTAAAATATGGGATGAATGTGCTCGCTTCAGCAGCACATACACTAAAACATGGGATGAAACTGGAAAGGAAGTAAACAATGAAACTACTTAAACCTAAACACCTGGCCTTCTCCAGGGTCTCATTTTTCCCCAAGCACCTTTCCTCCCTCTATCCCATCTCCCTAGGCTCTTTCTGGCCACAAACCAAATGCACTTCCTACCTGTTGTCGCTCTGGTTTTTTAGTAAGCCGTCTCAGAAGTGTGGAGTCATCAACCTGCATGTGCTCAGGAAGACGCTTCACTCCTAGAAGATAACGATCACGTTTTCAAGACTTTGTAGGTGATGTTGGAAAATACGTTTTTATGGCATAGAAGACATCAAGAAAAACTGGACAGAGGGAGGAGAAAAAAAAAAAGAGAAGAAATAGGGGTAGGATGAGGTTGAGGGGAGAATTCTGGACTCTGGAAACCAAGAATGGGAGAGCTGTTTCACTATGGAAAAGCCTGAGCTAACACAAGAATTAGAATCAACAGAGATCTTGAAGTGAAAGGAAGATACCTGAGGGGGTTTCTCCAGCTGTGCTGGGGCAGGCCTGAGGAGGTGTTCCTCCTTGTTCGCCTTTTCTTGCCTGTTTCAGGGCCCGCTCTGCCTCCTGCTTGGCCCGCCGCTCAGCGCGAAGTTCAGCTTTACTCCGACCAGCTGGAACTTTCTCCCAAGCAGTGCCCAAATGACTGCTGGATCCTGGCAGTTCTTTGGTTGGCCCTACTAAAGGTAGAAAGAAAAGATGCCCAAGCCTCAAGAAGGTAATATTTATGCCTGCACCAAAGCTTCTCTCCCCGTTTATCTAAACGTTCTCGCTCTTTTCTTGCTCAAACCAACTTTGTCCTATTTCCCTCTCTTCTCTGCCACACATCGCTCTCCCAGCTCCACACCCTGGCCCTTTATAAAAGGCACCCTGCACCTTGACTTTGGGCTGCAGATACAGGAGAACCAGTTTCTGGTTCTGCCCCCTTTTCCTCCTTCCGTTTCTTCTTCTGCTGTTTCTTTTCCTTCCGCAGCTGCAGCTTCTCTTCTTGGGTCATCTCCCTCCCCGCTGCCTGAAACACACAGAATACTGCTCTTCCCCAACAATCCCAAAGGTGAATAAATAAAATAGCTACGTATGTCCACAAAGTATTCTCACAAGAATTCCCACAAGATAAAGTCCCTAATCCTCCCTCTCACCAGCTACCCCATTACAAGTTTACATCCCACAGGGGTCGAAGCTTCTCTTCCAGGGTCAGGGTCACATACCGTTAGGGCGGAAAGAATTCTAAAATCTCCTAGCTTTACCGAGAAATAAAGTGAGACAGGGATGGAGGCTGGGGCGGAATGAAGTTGACATGGCCTCCTGCATAGCGCTTGACAGGCGTCTTGGGAGGGCACACTCACTTACCCCAGGCCGGGGAGAGAGCTCCGCCTTCATCCCGGATCCCGAGTCTGCATCAGAAAACAGGGCACAAAGTGAGCCAGAGAGGCTCCGGGAGGGTTTGGGGGTACACGTACAAGGCGCAGCTGGCTGCTGGGTGGGCATGACCACGACTCCGCGGCCAGGCTAGAGGCGAGCCAAGGATCCGCGTGGGGACGCAGTGCACGGCAGGATCAAAGGGCAGGCGGGGGAGGGAGAAAGGAGGAGCACCCACCCTTCTCATGGGAACCAGCCGGTGCGCGACTCCCGGCTGCGCCCGAGGCAGTGCGGCCCAGCGTCCGGCGTGGCGCGGGAACTTAACCACAGTGCCCAGAGGGGCTCAGGGCCCAGCGGCAGCTGTCCGGCACCCGTCGGCTCACGTACCTGTTGGAGCGCCCCAGCCCTTCACTTACCCTTGCGAACAGCCACAGCCACGGCAGCCATCACCCTCGGTCCTCCGTTCCGCCCGCCGCGGTCACAGAGACTACAGCGCCACCTGGGCGGACACTCGCGGCGCGCAGCCCCAAGCCGACTACAATCTCCGACATGCACTGGGACTCCACCCCGGGCTACGGGTGGCGATGAGGGCCATGTTCGGTCTGCCAGTCGCTGCGGGTTCCTCCTGCCCTTTAGACTACAGTTCCCAGTATGCTGAAGATGCTGGGCCCCAAAGCGTAGGTCCCACCGCCCTTCCCACATCCGATCTCAGCTACTCCCCCGCCCCTACCCCCCGCAAAATGGCGAGTGAAGCTGCGGGGACGTGCTGAGCAACGGAGGCGAGCGTGCAAACCCTCTGCGGCCCTCACAGTCCGGACCCCGGCCGGACTCTGCCGCAAGGAACATGCACTTTTCCATTCCTGAAACCGAGTCCCGCAGCGGGGACAGCGGCGGCTCCGCCTACGTGGTGAGGAGCGGCCGGAGCCGGGCCGGGCTGGGGCGGGGATAACGGGCCGGAGCCCTTTCCGAGCGGCTTCCGAGGGCAGGCCGCCACCCTTCGGGCCTGGCCGCAGTCTGCCGACTCCCGACGGCCTTGCTGGGAGCTTCTTTCGCATCTCACAGTCGTCCAGAGGTCGCCCCAGCTCCTGTAGGTTCTTTGTTCAGCCGCGTCGCCTACCCCTGCTGGGCCGCGGCTGCTCTGGTGGGCGTTACTGGCCTGTCGGGGAGGGAGACTGCGACACACCAGCGCCCGAGTTTCCCCGGGAGGGTCCTTCTGCTTTGGGACCTGGCCCTGGGGAAACAGACTGAGAAACCCTTGAAAGGTCTTGGCACGTTACTCAGGCGGAGCTGTGCCAGGCAACTTATGCTCAGGGTTCTCTAAGGGGTCGTCCGGATCACGACCCTAAAACGCTTGCCTACTTTTGTGTTCTCAGGCCTATAACATTCACGTGAATGGAGTCCTACACTGTCGGGTGCGCTACAGCCAGCTCCTGGGGTTGCACGAGCAGGTGGGACTAGCACCCCTGCCTTGAGGCAGCTTCAAGCCCTTCTGTACGAGGCATCAAGATATCTGTTTTCGCTCTCGCTTTCCTGTATGCCGTAGTTCCCCTTTAATCACTGCCACAGGGGAGGCTCTGACACCTTATCTTATCGTTCGACATTTCCGAGGACTCCCTAAGAAGCTTAATGTCTGTCCTCTAACTTCCCCTCCCTGTACTCATATCTTCCTTCCTGCTTCCTCTGTCTCCTGGCTTACTTCAGCGACTGCCTGTGCAAGGAAAAAGCGACCTCCCTTCCCGCCTTTGCACTGCCAAAGCACATTCCTTCTGTCATCTGAGCTGCAACTTGAAATTTTTTTTCCTGCTCATACAAACCATTAACCTATTTCCTTCTGTGTTCTTTGGCTCATTTCAGTGTGTGTAGCTGTTCTGGTTATCCTTATGTATCTGTGATTCAATGTTTCTCTGTTCTCACCAGTGTGAACTCTTTTTGTAACTCAGTTCAGAGTCCAGGTTCTACTGATAACTAGTTGTGCAACCCTGAGCAAGTTACTAATTTCTTTGAGCCTCTCAGTTTCTACAACTGAAAAATGGATTTGTTGATCTATAAAGTCCCTATACATCCCAAGATGCTTTGTGGACATACTCAGCTATTATTTAACTATTTGTACACTTAAATTTTCCTTATAAAGCTCTTTGCCTCCTATGAGGGTTCGGTGAACAGTCTTGGTAGATAGTCAAGGGGCTCCCTAGGCCCGGACCCCATATCAAGCCTCCCCACACTGTGAAGGAGCTGACTTGTACACAGTAAAATAGGAAAGAAATTATATCTAGGCAAGAAGAACGAATACTTAGAATACTAAGTATTTCGAACGAATGCTTAGAATACTAAGAATTTCTTAGAATACTACTTCTGCCAAAGGAGTTGCTTCCCAGATGACCAGGATAGACTGGGGAGCAGGAACTGAGGGAAGGGGAGGGGAGCCCAAAAGGACATGTGAGTGTGGATTGCCTATTCTCATTTGCTATGTTTATGTGAAGGGTTGTATCTCTTTCTCTAAATAGCTTCGGAAGGAGTATGGGGCCAATGTGCTTCCTGCATTTCCCCCAAAGAAGCTTTTCTCTCTGACACCTGCTGAGGTAGAACAGAGGAGAGAACAGTTAGAGAAGTACATGCAAGCTGGTGAGTGGTTGGAGGGAACTTTAGGCTGGCGGTGTTGAGGACTATGGGGAGAGACTAGACAGCTGGTTCTGTAGAAGGTCCTAAATTCTAGACCTGGGAAGCCTCTTGTTTGATCTGCTATTTAATTAGCAAAAGCAAGCAGCATGCAAGGATGCTTTAGATACTAGCAAAGCAATTTGGGCACTAATGTCTAAGAAGTACTAGTATACTAAATAGTCTTAGATTTAGATCTGTGGAGAGAACTTAATTTGTATCTGATGGGCTTTTGATTGACATCATTGTTATTTCCTTAGTTCTGTAGACTGGACTCAACTAGATGGCAGCCAAGGGTGGGGCAGGTGAAGAATTTATGCAAACAGTGAGTGAGGTGAGGCCAGCTGGGGATACGACAGGCCACCATCAACCCAGGAAATGAGGTCTGGGAAGACCTACTGGGAGGAGCCAGGAAGGAGTTCTAAGTTACTGGAACATCATTCTCTTGTCCCCACAGTTCGGCAAGACCCATTGCTTGGGAGCAGTGAGACCTTCAATAGTTTCCTGCGTCGGGCGCAACAGGTAAGGCTTTGAGTGGGACCAAGGTTTAAGGGAAAGACCTTTCTGTAGGACATGTCATTATAATGAGGTAGCTACAGGGGAGTCATCCTGGTTTGTTTTTTATGGAATGGGGCTTTTGCTGAAATCAATGAAATCAGGGAAACCCAGTAATTAAGCAGCTGAGACTAGACACCAGAGGGACCTAGACATGGGGATGGGTCTGAGCTGGATGCTGTACAAGGGTTAACAAAGTGAATGCCTTCCATTCTCATCTATGCTCACAACCAGGAGACACAGCAGGTCCCCACAGAAGAGGTGTCCTTGGAAGTGCTGCTCAGCAATGGGCAGAAAGTTCTGGTCAGTGTGCTAACTTCAGATCAGACTGAAGATGTCCTGGAGGTGAGGTGCTTGTTCTGCACTGTACCCCAAGGTCCAGGGTTGGGGCAAGATTGGAATCAGCCAGTATGATGAAATGTACTTCCTTTCCTACCCTCAGGCTGTGGCTGCAAAGCTGGATCTTCCAGATGACTTGATTGGATACTTTAGCCTTTTTCTAGTTCGAGAAAAAGAGGATGGAGCCTTTTCCTGTAAGTTTCTCCATACTTTACTGTTTCTTTGTGCTTCTGGTAGTGAATTTGCCTCCCTGTTTCCTCCCAGAATGTGGCGTTTCCTCAGGGCTCCCTCTTGATTTTCCTCCCCTTGAGTCTCATGACATTTTCCTTTTTTTTTTTTTTAAACCCACAGTTGTACGGAAATTGCAAGAGTTCGAACTGCCTTATGTGTCTGTTACCAGTCTTCGGAGTCAAGAGTATAAGATTGTGCTAAGAAAGAGGTCAGGGCTGGGCTTGGAGGAGGGGGAGGGCTTATTGGGCCATGTATTGAGACAGAATAATCTGGACAAGACGGTAGCACTGGGTGTTTCTAGCAGGCCTTTCAAGCTGCCTCACCACCGCACCACCATTAGCCCAGTAGTCAGATTGTTCCTGTTTTGCCCCTGTTTTCCATTCTACCTCTTGCCTTACCCCAGCTTAGCCCCCTTACCCCTTTCCACCCCTTGGCCTCACAGTTATTGGGACTCTGCCTATGATGACGATGTCATGGAGAACCGGGTTGGCCTGAACCTGCTTTATGCTCAGGTGAGCTTGGAGCTGACTTAGAACCCTTCCCCCGAAAATGACTCTGGTGTCCTTCTCTGCCAAGAAAACTCTTTTCACGTCTTTTCTCCAAGTTCACGGGGAAGTTCTAGAATACTATCAGGGTACCTGGCACAACTTCTACAGTCCCTACTTTGTAAGCTGATTACGGTCTAGTACTCACTGCAAAGAGTGTGGGGCTAGGGGTCAGGCTGGACAGAGATAACTGGACACTTTCCTTGGACCTCTGACAGGGGACTCTGATCTCCCCACCCCTTGTTTCCACTGTAGACAGTATCAGACATTGAGCGTGGGTGGATCCTGGTCACAAAGGAGCAGCACCGGCAGCTCAAATCTTTGCAAGAGAAGGTCTCCAAGAAGGAGGTAAGCCCTGCCCATCTTCCAGGGGCTGCTTTCTCTGAGCTGCCCTGCTTCCCCTCCTGACGCACCCCATGTGATGACTGGGTTTCAGTTCCTGCGGCTGGCCCAGACGCTGCGGCACTATGGCTACTTGCGCTTCGATGCCTGTGTGGCTGACTTCCCAGAGAAGGACTGTCCTGTGGTGGTGAGCGCAGGCAACAGTGAGCTCAGCCTTCAGCTCCGCCTGCCTGGCCAGCAACTCCGAGAAGGCTCCTTCCGGGTCACCCGCATGCGGTGCTGGCGGGTCACCTCCTCTGTGAGTTGGGGTAGGAGGGGGAGGCCTTTAGGATGAGGGCCTGGCAAGCCTTGAGCTTCAGGAATGGTCTGCAGTGGGTCATGGAGGGAGGCAGCTTGGTCAGAATGAACTTAGCCTAATTCCCCTTCCTCTCCCAGGTGCCATTGCCCAGTGGAGGCACAAGCAGCCCAGGCCGGGGCCGGGGTGAGGTGCGCCTAGAACTGGCTTTCGAATACCTCATGAGCAAGGACCGGCTCCAGTGGGTCACCATCACCAGCCCCCAGGTGTGAGCCCACCCTCAGACCTCCTCTGGACCCCATTGCACCGCCTCTCTTAGATACCCAAGTCTAGGGTTTCCAGGACTCCATGTGAGTTGGAGCCCTTGTCTTAGGGATGCTGGGCTCAGGATGACAGCTCTAGTCAGGCTGAGCTCTCCTCTTGCCCTCAGGCTATCATGATGAGCATCTGCTTGCAGTCCATGGTAGATGAACTGATGGTGAAGAAATCTGGGGGCAGCATCAGGAAGGTAAGCAGCAGGTGTGGACCAGACAGTTTTGGTGGTTGTGCTCTCCCTGCCTCGTCCCAGGTGTGAGGCTTCCCCTGAGAAGGGAAGTGATGGAGATTCCACAGGGAGTGATTCTGCCCTTACCAGTGCCTTATATCTCCATCCGCAGATGCTGCGCAGGAGGGTGGGGGGCACCCTGAGACGCTCAGACAGCCAGCAAGCAGTGAAGTCCCCACCACTGCTTGTAAGTGTTACTCCTTATCAGTACCCCAGCTCTCCCCACCTCCCATCAGTGAGGTTTCTGACACCTGTGCCGCCTCTTCCCCAGGAGTCACCTGATGCCAGCCGGGAGTCCATGGTCAAACTCTCAGTGAGTTTCCCATGAGGGTTGGTTGGTGAGGTTGGTGTTTGGAGGGGGATCTTGGGAGGCTCAAGCCCTCTGACCCCACCCTGCCTTTGTTACAGAGCAAGCTGAGTGCTGTGAGCTTGCGAGGGATTGGCAGTCCCAGCACAGATGCCAGTGCCAGTGATGTCCACGGCAATTTCGCCTTTGAGGGCATTGGAGATGAGGATCTGTGATCTCCAGTTCTAGGACGTCTGCCCTCTACCCCAGAGGAGTGTTCAAAAACTTGCCCTATGCCTGTATCTCCCAAGCTGGGGGGTGTTTTCCTTCCCATCTTCCCCTTTTCTCTTCTTGGCCAGGGGCCTCTTAACCTACCTTCCCCTTCCTTTCCCCCTTGGCTAGCTGTACAAAGGATTATCCTCTTTTCAGAGCTGGCCCTCAATGCCAAACTAGCATTTAGTATTTTGCACAAAGTCCACGGGACCATGGCTACCTGCCTTGGGGAGGAACCACAGCTCCCCGCAGCTGCTTCTGGCTTCTTGGGCCATGGGCCAAGGGGATGGGCAGAGGTCTGTGTATGGTCTGGCCCAGCTTCCCATCATTAAACTCAGCCTGATTGCTGCCTACCTCTGGTTCCCTCTCACTGCCCCTGCTCCCCCAGCGTGGGCTACTGTGCTAAGGGTAAGGCTGGGCTGTGTTTGCCACTGCTAACTCAGCATAGACATGTCTTTGTTAGTGTTTCCTTTATTATAAAGCACTGAAATAAGTTAAACAGGTGGGAGGCTGGGCAGTCCCCCAACCAGTTCATCCACAGCCCCTGGAAGCAGTGGAGGTAAATACAGGGCCCTTCTACTGAGCTCATGAAGTGCATCAGTCAAGGCAAGGCCCCCTGGTCCATATGGGCCCCCTGCCCATGGGGTTTGGGCTGGTCCATATAGTGCCTAGGTTAGTCTGTATGGAGCCCCTGGCCAGCGGGGGAGGAAAAAGAACGTGGTTTCTGGTCCATCTGTATAAAACATACAGGAGGGTCAGGGCTAATCTATAGGGCCCTGACGGGAGAAGGGCCTAGTTCAGGGTGAGTCTGTATGGAGAGCCCGGCTACCAGTGGTGCCCAGGGCTGTCGGACCCCGAGAGCTCAAAACGGAGGTGGGGCTGTGAGGTGGAGCCCAGCCTTCAGAGGCAGAGAGGCCAGGTCCTCCTGCCCCACCATGCCCATGCACCTTCTGGTGGCGTTTGTAGTTGTCCCAGTGGCCCGTGGTGTAGGCGCAGGTGGTACAGCGGAAGGGCTTCTCGCCTGTGTGCCGCAGCATGTGGCGTTTGAGGTTCATACTCTGGTTGCAGCTGTAGTTGCAAAGGCTACACCGAAAAGGTTTGTCCCCAGAGTGGATGCGACCATGACGCTTGAGGTTGGCCAGGTTGCCACAGGCATAGGGGCAGAGGGGGCACTTGTAGGGCTTCTCTCCTGTGTGGACACGTTGGTGCCGTTTCAGGTTATCCAGATGAGCAGAGGCATAGGGACAGCGGGCACAGCGGAAGGGCTTCTCGCCACTGTGTGTCTTCATGTGCCGGGCCAGGTGGTTGGGATAGTGAGTGGCAAAGGGGCAGAGGCTACAGGCAAAGCCTTTGTCACTGGGGCCCTGGGGGCCCTCACTGGCACCTCTTCCAGCCTCTCCTCGCATGCAGCGCCCACACATGGCAGTTCCTAGCCGACTACCCTCCCCCTCCTCCAGCTCTTGTCCACAGTTCCGGCAGGTCCAAGGGAACAGCAGCTCTGGCAGTGGTTCTGATCCAGTCCCACAGAGGCCCTCCCCTTCACCCTGCAGCTGCCCACAGTCCGGCAGGAAACTGGCACCACCTGGCGGCACATGGAGGTTCAAATCTGGAAGCAGCAGAGCATCTGTGGGAAAATGAGACCTGGGCTATGAATCCAAGTACCCCTAGGGCCACCCACCCATTTCCCAAGATTCTTTGGTCCCTAGCTTTTTACCTTCAGGTCGCCGGGGCACTGCCCCCTCCTGCTCTGTGGGACTGGGAGGCCGGGTTGGACGTGGAGCACAGCAGCGGAAGCCACAGGTCGGGCAGGGAGGAGTGGGGGGCCCCGCATGGGTGCGCTGATGCCGCCTCAGGTTGCCCAGGCTGCTGCAGGCAAAGGGGCAGTGGGGACAGCGGTACGGCTTCTCGCCAGTGTGGGTGCGGGTATGTCGCGTCAGGTTGACGAGCTGGGCTGAGGCGTAGGGGCAGCGACCACAGCGGAACGGCTTCTCCCCGCTGTGTGTCTGCATGTGCCGCTTCAGGTGGCTCGAGTAGTGGGACACGAAGGCGCAGAGGCGGCATGAGTATAGTAGCCGTGGGGGCAGCGGGGGCCCCCCACCCGGCCCTCCTGTCCCACAACATGGCCCCTCACCTGTCAGCCCCCCACACAGCTGGCAGGCTGGGCCTGGCCTCTCACCCCTGGCCTCCCCTGGACCCCGGGCTGGCTCCTCAACTTCACTCTCGGCACTTAGTGCCCGGCCACCCCCAGACTCGTCGTCGCTCAGCCCGTAGGGAAGCCCAGGCCTGGCCCCCAGAGAGTCTCCTGGTGAGACAGACAGGAGAAGAGACATCAACATGTGTTAGGACCAGGCTCCAAACTCCCTTTCTCGCTGTGATTTCCCTATTTGCTTGGCCCCACCCTTCCTCCTTCAATGATCCCAACAAGTAAATATGAATTGTGTACCACCTAGCCTGGACTAACCTGGTGAACACAAGAATTGTACCTAGTTCCATTTAATGGAAAAAGATCAAGGGCTCAGTGATTCACAGACTGAATCAGTAATGTAATTAACTGCTTCTTGTGATAAGAATGTAAAAATGCACAAGGCAGAGGCCTGAGGCCTTTTTTAAAACTCTATATTAGTAAGGTACCTTTTAGTATGGAACTGATTATAAAATCGAAACTCTCAAGAGGCAAAATTTAGAGAGAAGTAGAAACGAAGTAATGTATGTAATAACACTTCTAAGCCTAAAGGATGGATTCCCTCAATGACTTTCAAAAATATCTTTCATAAGTGGCATGAGTGGGTAGGTAGAGCAAATTAGGATGGAGTGGTGCTAAGATCACAGGGAAGAGGAATGTGGAAGGGTACTTGAAGGTAGAGTAAAACCTCAATACAAAAGGAGCTTATGCTGCAAGTGAAAGGGGAGTTGGACATAAGTACTAGCTTGAATGAGGAGTTGCTTCCCTGAAACTCAGAAATAAACTCATGTAAGGAATGGGCTAAGGAGTGGTATATGGTTATAAGGATATTTACTTTTAACCAACTGCTCCAAGTGATTCATCCACTGTCCTATTCATACCACCTTTGGACCAGGCCCCAGAACTACACCTCAACAAAGTGATGGAGCTGATTGGACAATCAGGCAAATGAAGAAACTAGCTCAAACCTAACCTGAACCAGCCCTAAGCTGTGGCAGGAAACAGTGTTTTGCTCACTGACACTAAATCCTAACCCACCTCCTGAAAGACTGGGGTTTCAGTGGTCACTAATCCTTAACCACGTCACAAAACCTACCTTCAGAGTCTCTCTCGAAGCCCATGAGCTGGTCGCTGTTGCCGTCACCTTCCTCCTCTTCCTCTTCCTCTTCCTCCTCAAACTCCAGATCCTGGCCTAGTAGCAAATCACTCTCCAATACCAGGGCCCCCGGTCCTTCGTCGAGGGAATCTTCGGCATCCACTGAGGAGGGGACGGGGCTTGTAGATCCTCCTTCAGGAGCCATGCCCATCACCCGCGCCCAGGGTCCAGTCCTTCTGGACCGTACTGCCAGCACTCGTAGACCCTCCCGGGTTCCCCTAGTACCTCGGTAGGAAGCTGGGAGTCCTGATCGCCCACCCTATCCCTCAGGAGTCCTCCTCCACCCCGACCTGAACCCACTCCATTGACCCCACCCCCGTTCCTCCCCTCATCGCGACCCCTGACCTTTGACCCCCTCGCATTTCACGGGTTGCGGGTGGCTTTGCTTCCTTCGGGGCATCGTGACCGGCTCCAGCCCGACGAGCCTCCGGCCTCCGGCCGCCTGGCCCCGCCCCTTCCAAATC